TTTTTTTTTTTTTTGGTGTAGCCGTCTCGTCATGTATTCTCCAATTTGTCTCACTCAGGTATTTGTGTCTTTTTATTTTTAATATACATTGAGTCGCTGTGATTTGCACATTTCTAATAAAAACTGGTTTCAGACAGTGGCCGCGGGGGATTGGAAGTTGTGTGCATGTGGGTCAGGGTTGTGCAGTTTCAGCTCCGCTTGGGAAGCACTTTTACGATTTACAACAACAACAAAGTTTTGCCTTGTAGGTACAAATATAGCGCTGGAAAAAATATAAAGTTGTCAAGCCGAAATGAACACTGTTTGTGCCACAATTGTGGTGATTTATTTTTTTTCAGTTCTGTAACGAAAAATCATTTAATAGTCCCGCAGGCGCTTAAAAAGTAACAAAAGTGCTAATCTTCATGCGTTCTTTGTGTGCGTAAAGCTGTGCGTAAAGATGATTTTTAGGATAACAACCCAAGACTGTCATCCTGATATTCCCTGTGTAATTGGTACAGGTATGCTCGTTTTTTTCTCTCAGGTTTAATTATTTGCGTCCTCCAATAACCTCACACACACACACACACACCCCTACCAGCCTTGCTTGAGCCGTGTTTATGTATTTTTTTCCACGTGTATATTTTTATTTAGAGTAAAACCCCTATACTTTGGGGAAGTGAAGTTGGAAGAAGATAAAGCCACTTTCATTGTAGGAAGATCAAAGGCATGATAAGGTTGATTCAGCAGTTGGACAGAGTAGCTGACTGTTTTGGCTGACTCAGTTTTACTGTTTATATTTTACTTGGCATAAGTAAGTGATTGACTGAGATGTGGTTTAGTTTGTACTTAAGAGGATTGTGCTTTTATGGCCCCAGCTGAAGTGCACTGCATAGGCCCTGGCCAAGTCATTTATCTTTACAGCATTTTGGCTTTAGCCTGGTTGAAAAAAAAATGTACGGAATATTTAAAGTGTTTCTCAACAGGAAACGAGAAGTGAAAAAGATTTCAGAAAGCACATTTACTAGCATTTACTGCTTATGTTCCTCAGCTTAATTGGCAGGATTATAGCGAGGACATGACATTTAAAGGAGTTCTGAATGTATTTCATTTATTTTTTACCTCTCTAAAAGACTATGAATAGGTAAAGCATCCATAGTATTCATTATTAAATATAACACATTTAAAAACGAGAGTCTGAGAGAGGATAAAATGTTTATTCACGCTGTATAATACGTGATTAGAATTTGACGTTGCTGTGCTGGAGCAGAGTTTTATAAGTGCAGACCAGAAACGTGGCTTCTCAGAGGAGGACCAGCGGCAGGCACACACAGATAGGGAGTGGATTTCTGTGGTTTCCTATAGACCGCAAAAAAGAACAATATGTGGTTTAACTTTTCAAAAGCCTACTCAAAAAGGGGGCTGCTTATGCTTATTAAATTTGACATTTTAATGACCTAAAACGAAGATTAGTTATTGTTTCTACTTGTCACTCGCAGCACTTCTAAATCATCCACACTATCCTGTACATTCCTTCACCTACAGAGAACAAGCATTAAGAGGTTTTTATAATTTGCCCATAGGTCAGAGAAGTGCTGGGTTGCTGTAGAAATGTTGGTGTTTAGCTTTTTTTTTTCTAGTTGTAGGGATCAAGAGAAATTCTGTCAAATGCAGTTTGAAAAAGTTTTCTTTTATTTTTATTGACTCACATTTGTGGTAATTTCTCACGTTAAAAATTAAAGTGTACTGCGGCATAATGCAGAGTACAACAGATAATGTGAATATGAAATCGTAAAATGACTGTCAAAAATATTTCTTCTAATATTTTTGTGATAATTTATGAAAAAAAAAGAAGGCTCAGCGTTACATGTTTAATTTAAAAATTAAATATATTAAAAGAGACATGGAAAATTTAAAAAGCAAGCCATGATTTTAATATCACGGTTATTGGAATGAAGCTGGGCGACTGTCATTGTGTGTGTCAACCTCAAGACTTAAAATGATTTGGCACAAACTTCGTATTAAGTCCTACCTCAACCTTTGAAAATACCGCTCACACAATTGCTTCGTTTGATATGCCTCCTTCCTCCTCTGATCGTGTCTTTATTGCATTTTAAACACACAGCCTGTGTACGAGGCTGTTTGTGGAGCGGCAATCTCCTCAACTTCCTATTTTTGTGACTGCACCCCACTTGGCCCTCTGGCTTATCCTCCATCCTTCGTGAACATGGGATAAGTTCACGTTGGAATGTGGATAGTTTGATAAGAGAAATGCAACCCCTCACGCATGCTCCCTGTAGCAGCAGCAAGCACAGGAGTCCCGCTCAGAGCATGCTCGGGAAATGAGAGCAGAGAAGCGAATGCATTCAGTCACTGGGCTTGGTGCTATTGTAGTGCTGGCAGTTGATATAAACAGTGGAATGTCCTTGTCATACCTGCGGTATGCCCAGAGACGTCTAGGATGGTAAAGCCAGTGCTGCTCTGTTTAAAGAAACTTCTCGACTTAAAGCTGTTGAAACTGCCAATAAGATATTATGTGACTGATTATGAGGAATTGTTTATTTGTGGTCTGACTTCCCTTCTGCCTCAGATTAGTAGCTGACTAAACCCATATTTCTTCTTCATGTTTGATGACATGAGTTTCTGATTATATTTCTCTCCTTCTCTCTTCCCTCTCCTCAATGTGTCCCTTGGATGCTCCAGGATGAATTTCATCCCTTCATCGAGGCACTTCTCCCTCACGTCCGTGCCATTGCCTACACGTGGTTCAACCTCCAGGCCAGAAAACGCAAGTACTTCAAGAAGCACGAGAAGCGGATGTCCAAGGATGAGGAGCGCGCGGTGAAGGACGAGCTTCTGAGCGAGAAGCCCGAGGTTAAGCAAAAATGGGCCTCCAGGCTGCTGGCCAAGCTGCGTAAGGACATTCGGCAGGAGTACCGGGAGGACTTTGTCCTCAGCGTGACGGGCAAGAAGCACCCGTGCTGTGTGCTATCCAACCCGGACCAGAAGGGCAAGATCCGCCGGATCGACTGTTTGCGGCAGGCTGACAAAGTTTGGCGTCTGGACCTGGTGATGGTCATCCTCTTCAAAGGCATCCCCCTGGAAAGTACAGATGGGGAACGCCTTGTCAAGTCTCCACATTGCACCAACCCAGCACTTTGTGTCCAGCCACACCACATAACAGTATCGGTCAAGGAGCTGGACTTGTTTCTAGCATACTATGTCCAGGACCAAGGTAGGTTCAAACTCATAATGTGTGTGTATGTGTGTGTGTGAGCCAAGGCGCATGTGTGAATGATGGCCTGGTAAGGTCATGGGTCACATTTGGCAGTCTTGCTGAGACTACATTCGCCAGACAAATAAACATAAGAGACTTTATCGTCACTACTGTATTAATGTAGCACAAATTGTTATATGGTTCAAGTGTGGCGCAATACTACAGAAAAAGACACTCTGTTCTCATTATTAAATGTAGAACATGTTCTGAATGTGTCTTTGCTCTGCTGTACTCCAGCAGCAGCTTGTACTCGTGTTCAGTAATTATTCAGTTACTATAATTTGGACAGGGTATGTATTATCTTGTACACACACAGACACACAGGCTTGTACAATTGCACACACACTGTACACGTATTCGATTTGTCTGGATATTAAGTAGTGACATTTGTGGAAAGTTGCAGTACCAGCTGGTTAAATTAAAATGAACCCACCAGTTGTATATTTTTCTAATACTGAGTTCATATACCAGTAACACAGGGTTCTTCTAAGGCTCTTGTTGTGCCATTTTTTGTTATTGACAGCATATTTTTAAAAACTGAGGTTGTTCAGCTATGTAAAAAAAAAAAAAAATGTCCCCAAATCTTCTTCCCCTTTATATAATGTAACATGTAATTTAAAAACTCTTCTTTTGTCAGTCGAAAATCACATTAGAACAATATTGTTTTGAATTGAGATTTTCACAGTTAAAAAGGTAATACCCACATTTTAATAACACATTACTGAGTCACATTACAGCCTAGTATTGAAGATAGGAGTCAACTTTTTAAATATTTGCAATACATTTGAGTTGTAGTTTTTATGGTAATGTGTCTATTACCAGTCGTGTGTGTGATGTGTGATTGTGTTTGTGCTGAAATGGAAACCTCTGTCTTTTCTTAATTCCTGAAAAGCTGGTTTATTCTACGCGAAAGCCTCTTGCGGACACAGTGATGTGCTCGATGTGAAGACTGAATCGTGCATTTTTTTTCAGCACCGTGTGAAATAAGAGGCTGAAAACATTTGTTGCCAGGTATTGGAATAGGCTTTGACATGCAAATTTTTTTTAAACTGAATTCTAATTTATTTTTCCCCTTATATACAACCGAAAGAATGCCACACAAACAATAAAATATTGTCATTTACTGAAACATTTGATGTACACCGACAATTTAAGCCAAAATCTAAATTATTTGTTTGAAAAGCAGCCTTGCAGTGCAAAATCCCTCTTATTGTAAAACGGAAAAAAACTAATTGTGCATTTTTTATCCACTAATTGATGATAGAAACATCACATTTGAATCTGGTATAGGAGAAGGGGAATAGTAATTAAGACTAGACAATGCCCAAGTACGGAAAAAAATGTGTATAGATCTGTTAGAAATGTTCTAATCAATACTTATTTTATTCTTATTTAGGCACCATATCTATCATTTTCTGTTCTAGAATTTAACCTTTAAAAGCTCTTTTAAACGGATCATTTCTGTCTCAGGGTTCTCACAGTATATAATTAAATTTCAGTCATTCATGTCCCTCACAGGTTTGAACTTCCTCCCTTTATCTGTTCACACTATAGGAATCCCCCCTATAGTATTCCCTGTTGAAATTCCCCTGTATTAAATCTATCGCAGCGACACCGAATAACCACCAATACTTTGCTATTGGGGGGGAGAAATGGTGGTATAGCTAGCTCATTATCATCAAACCCTGAGCGCCATTTTGTGTTTGATAAGTGCCAGGGAAAGCAGAAGGCACAGCACACAGACAATAATGGTTGCCACTGGCACCGGGGTTGGCATCAGACCCTCTTTTGTGTCTTTTGTAGGATGCCACCGCTTCTCTAGTTTGCATCTGCTGCATTTTTAACTGTTCAGTACCAACTCGAGAATGGCTCTTTAGTCCCGTTTTTTATAGTTTTTATAGTATAGACCATTTAAATAATACGTTAGTGCTTGTATTGTACAGTATGGACCGTATTTCACCAGATATTATTTTAGGCAAATGTGTCCGCTATGGAGGAAGAGTAAAATATTGGCAAGAATATTAATTTTAGTGTTTGAAATAAATGGTGAACATAATGTTCTCTTTCGCCGGGAAATTAAATGCACTTGGATTCAACATCGCATTATGGATCAGAGCGACTATTTACTGTTGTCCTCAGAATTTCTGAGAGGAAACTTTGGCAACAAAATAGCATTCTTTTACCGGGATCACAGAAACGGGCATGCTTTTTTTTCTTCCTTTTTCGTTTTTTGCAAGCTAAAGCGTCTTTTCCTTTTCAAGTTACCAAGCAGTGCCCATCTCCAGACAATGCAGCCATATTGTGGTAGCGTGTGGTGCGGCGCCATTTTGTTTTGCACTGTGCCAGGGAGGCAGGCAAATCACCAGTAATGGTTGTTCGAGGTTTGGAGGTTGGCATCGAACCCTCTTTGTCTGCTTGCAGCATGCCTTTGATTCGTTGGTTGGCATCCGCAATGCAGTGGGCACGTTGGAAAGTTTTTTTGACAGTGGCAGAATGGAAGCCGCTGCCTTTGTTCTGCTGCAACTGCACGAAACAAACAAACATACAATCAAACACAAAGAAACTAGCAAACAGCTCTGTCTGAAACAGAATCTGGCATTTGTGCGAACTGCTGGAAAAAAAATGGGTCCGGACTCTGCTTTTAACATTGTTCTCTCTGTCCTGCTACCTGGCAGTGTCTCACTTCTGCTGTGTTGTGTAATTGGATAACATAAAATATGTTGCTGCCGTTATTTACCCAACACAATTTTTTCTTGTTATTTTTTTGTGGCAAAAATCAATAAGTTCAGTGTATTTGTTTTTGATTCTGGTGGGTTGCTGCCTGAGAAAGGTCGGCGGGTTGGCAGCGAGTGTGCTGGGTGAATTTAGAGAGGGCACTCAGCCCCCTTGTTCTGGGGCACAGACGCGTTTAGCCAGTCAGGGCTGTAGCACCCATGTGCATGCCCAGATGAATGCCCGCTGGGAAGTAGGCTAGGGGCTGGGAGTGGGGGTTGTGGCATCCATTGTGCCAACTGGCAGGCCGTGTTCAATACGGGGCACACACACACACACACATACACACACACTGCTCTTATACTCCAATGCAATGTTTTATATTTATCGGAATAGGAAGAAGTGCAATTATATATATATATTTTTTTTTTTAAACATCGACTCTCCCCACCTGGATTCATATTTTGCATATCCAGTTCGACAGCTTCATGAAATAGTTGTAACAAGGCATGTTGATAATTGTCATGTTAGGACATGTTAGAATACTGCAGGCCTCGTTTGTATTTGGTTTCGTTATGCTTCTCATACCTGTTTCCTCAACAAACGTAGAAATGTAGCTGTATTCAGTGAAAGTTCTGTATATTTAAACGTCTTGTTCTTAATGCACATGTGGGCCTAAAATATGAAGATAAAAATAACAAAACTAAAGAATATGTGTGATTAAGATACACAAGCAATTCAGTTGAAAATTTGGAGGAATCTTGGGGAATGTTATGGGAATTATCTGCCGTACCTTTTCCTAAATTACCTCAAATATAAATTAATTTGACAAGCGGAAGCTTAAGTGCAATAAAGTAGGAATGGTAGTACAAATTAGAAATGACTTCAAACCACTGAGCTTTTTAAAAGCTGTCAGTGGATTTCCTCTCAAGCAGTGACAGAACATGATTATTGAGGTAGTCCAATGGGAGACTAAAGAAGTCAAGGTCAAGCAGCTTTCCCATTACTCTGGTGCTGGAAGTTAACACAGCCATAAAACATCATTACCTTGAGTCCTTCCCCCCCCCCAGTAACGTAACTTTTTTTCTCCACACTGTCATGATAGTTTGTGGAAATGGATGGATTACCTGTGAATACATGCTGCCATGTTAATGGAGACCTTGTTTTACGAGCGCCAGACTTAACCTCTGCCCCTGGGGTCATGACCTTTGCTAAGAGATGTGGCAGGGTGTCCTCTGAAGTTTAATTGAGCAAAACAGATCAGTGAAAACGTGCCGTTGCAGGCCCACGGCACGTGGAGAAGGAAGTCTTTTTGCCTGGGGGGGTGTTGTTGGTCAGGGGAGGAGGCGGGGGAGCTGCTCATAAGCCCCCCTTGTTGACCTCCTCAATCGGGGTCAAACTGCGGCGGTCGCGGGATCACTGGTGGTCTCTTGGCAACTGTTTGTCTCCACTCCCCCGACACTACTTCTGGTCTGGCTGGTGGTCCCTTGGTTCACTGGCCTAAGTGAGGGGGAGTAGGTACCACTGACTCCCCACACCTCCTCACCCCCTCCTCCAATCCCTCAGGCTGGGTAGCCTGGCTGTTCCCTATCTTCAAGATTGGTCACCGCCTGCCCACCATGCTGCGTGGAATAGCTGTTTGCATCTTGTTTTCCGCCCGGCTGCCTCGGAGGCTTTGGTCAGGCGGCCAGTGTGGAGGCCTGACCTTCTGGGTCACAGTGGAGGTCTGTGACTAAGCACAACATCTATCCCTCCCTCCCTTCATCCCCTTATCCTCCTCTGCCATCAGGAATCACCCCTGCGGCACACTGCCCGGCCAAATGACTCTCCTTCTCTCTCCCAGTCTCTTTTCTTTGCTCACTCCCTGGCTTTCCCTCAAGCCCAGAGACTGCGACCATGACAGCTGTCCCAGGCCCAGGCGCTTGGCCAGAGAAAGGGTGGCTGGGTGCATGCCAGAAGTGCGAAAACAAAAGTTGGTGTAAGTAGACAGCGTTAACGACACTACTGTTTGTCTTCCTTTTTTGGGTTGAGGGCAAGTTATTTAGCTCCTTCTTCATTTTTCCTGGTGAGACGATGTTGGATAAAAAGGAAGTTGAGTGGAATTTTATTCTTTGACATGAATTTTAACAGTGAACATTCAGAACAAAATCGGGAAGACCGTAAAATACAAATCCTGGGAAAAACCTTAACCAATGACTCCAGAGCCATATAGAAAAACTCTTCAGATTGAACTGTACAACCCTGTG